GCAGTCCACACAAGTAACTTATTGAAGGAGACAAGATATTATGGAAATCAAGGAGGCTATAGATGCGTTCGTGAATTGCAGGAACGACTGAAGATACAGCCTTAAAATGAGATACTTAGGGATAATGATTGTTGGCTGCCTTAATATCGATAATACCAAGATTCAAGTTCTTTAGAGATTTTTTATCTACAAAACAATTGTTTCCAATATACTATGCATTAGTTCAATCAATATTGAAGTAGTAAAAAATGGATTTTATATGTCAACATTATTTACACAACTGAAAAAGTGTATCAGGATTCTTGTGTTTTTAGTATCGGACAATTATATTGCATAAACTTGCTGTTATTTATTTATAAATACAAACACACGCTCCTGAGACCAGAACATAACCATGGGGCAAGGTGTTACACATTATCAGTCCAGACCCGAAGGATGAATAATCAAATTGGGCAAAGGTATATAGGCCCTATAATCCTCTGCCTGATGAATGTAGACAATACACCAGTTACTATAAAAATGTATAAAACTGTGGATACAAGAACAATCATATATATATGAGCAGTAGTCACATTGCCATTGCCAACGACCAGTTGGGCAAAAAAATACAATTAAATGTTAATTGGGAAATTGGCAAACTTTTTTAGGCTTCAGTTAACTCTTTTGACGATAGATTCAAGCTTTTGGCAATTCTCTATGGAGCCTTCATCAGGATCTGAAAACACAATTATGATGCTAGCAACCAATGCAGGAACTACTTAAATTGTCAAACAACTTACTCGTCGTTGAGGTTGCAGCCAAATGGTGTTTAAAAACGAACGCGGAGATGAGATCACTTGTTACAAATATAAAACAAATCGAACGATCACATTGAGCTTATTTATAATGACGGATAACATCATTATGTGTTAACACTATAAATCAATACAGCTAAACATATTAAATTTTTTTTTTAAATTAAAGAGAAGCAATTTTGGGGACAGAATCGGAATGTAGATTCTAACCACATCCGCTTCACGTGGAGAGGGTTGACGGAACGGAAAGATAATGTGTCGACAGATGACATGTGATTGACGCGACGGAATGTAGAACTGTAAACTCATTGTCAAATTTGGGTAAGAAGTATACGAGGGACGCTCGGTAAACCTCTACCCAAATTACTAAAATGCTGAAATAGTTTGTTTTGGAAAAATATGTAGTTCATATGAGTGTGCGAATGTGAGATAGTGATACACACTTGAAAAGTTGGGTTATGTGAGTTTATATTAAAGATTGTGAGCGAGAAATTTCAATTACCAGGATAGCAATTGGAAATGTATTCTAATTTTGGGACGACGTTGGTTCGATTTAGATATGTAGCCGTTCTAGTTTTTCGCAATTCAACAGGTAGGCATAAATGACACTAAGCTGCTTAACATCCGCCTTTTTATTCATGCAATGATCTGTCATGAAAATGTGGGACATTTCTAAAAATAAACCTTTTGAGAGTCATTTTTCTTTGTCAAGAACCTCAATTCTGCCATAATTCATAGAGTGATCTGTGTTGTTAATATGAGATGCCAAAGCACATCTCTCTGGATGTAATCTGGCGTCACTTTTTTGTGAAGTTATCCTGCCTTTCAGTGACCTCGAAGTTTGGCCTATATAAACTAAATTACAGTTGTTGTAATTAATGCGATAGACAGAGTTGGTTGAATCAAACAACTGAACCTTTTCCTTCATTTTGGACAACAAACTGTTGACTGTGAGCACACAATTTTGGTGTTAGTTCTTTGATGTATGGCAAAACAACATAATTAACTCTGGAAATAGGAGCAACCACTGTAGTGCTGTTATTCTCATTGGTTGAAGAATTCATGGGCGGCTGGTTGCACCAAACAGTGTTGTCATTTTCACTATTATTATTCGTCATTGGCAAAATATTCGGAGGAGAGCTGAACAAGATTCTGTTAACCAAATACTTCGGATAGCCATTGTTGATGAATAAGACTGAAAGCTTCCTTTAATTGGAAAGATGGAAAGTACTGTCAGAGATTTTTATAACCCTGTTCTTCATTTGTTTCACCAGGTTTATTTTTATTTTAAGTTCGTGGTAAGACCTGAAGTTCAGGAACCTTCCGGAAGAAATTGGTTTCCTGTACCAGTCTACCAGTAATATATTGTCATTGCTGCGAATCAATCTTGAATCCAAAAAGGGTGAACTGGATGTAGGGATCATAATTGTTAAAAACTTCAACCATATCATCCACCCTTTCATAAGGAAGACAAACGATAATATCGTCCACATACTTTTTTATGAAAATTAGATTGTATGGTAATACTTGAATAACAACATCAAGCAGGTTATCCATTACATTTTCTGCCAAAATTGGAGATAACACAGAGCCCATGGGGCAACCATGTGATTGTGAAAACACTGTGTGATTAAAAGTAAAATAATTGTCCTGGAAAAGGGACTCTACGATATTGATGAAAGAATCCAGAGTTAGGTTGTTGTGTTGGCAAATTTGATCCCAATGGATCTGATGCAAGCTTCTAAATACACATTACTGAACGGTGAAACTACATCTAGACTCGCAATAACATGATTTGAAACCTATTATATTGTTGACAAACATCAAAAGAGTCTTTTATAAAGTATTCTAGTTTGATGTGAGCTGACTATAGAGTATCTGCAATTAATGCAGATAAAGTTAGTGTAGCTGATTCAACAGAAGCCACAATAGGTCTTACTGACAGTACAGGTTTGTGTATTTTTGGCATAAAATTTAGGAGAGAGAATTATAAGTGATTGAGGACTTCTTTTGGTCCTGGTTGATTTGACCAGTGCTGAGTAGCCTGTTAACAATGTCATTGCAACCTTTCTCTACTTTAGATGTAGGGTCTTTATTGATAACTTTGTAACAGGGATCATTATCAATCAAATTATTACATAGGTCAAAATATTGTTGTCTTAACATAATTACGGTAACATTGCCTCTGTCTGATTTTGTAACAATTAACTCGGGATGATCCTTAATCAATTTCCTTATTTTCTTTAACAGGTTGTGGTAGAACGAGTGTTTTTTGTTGATGCTACTGTTATGAAACTAATTTGTGATAATATTGGTGGAACGATTTATCGCAATGTTCCTTTCTATGTCATCACTAATGGAAGAAGATATAGAATCAACATCAGCCAGAATATGTCTGATTGCAATGTCACTGTTGACAAACGGTTCAACGCTAAACTTTGGACCCAACGACGGAGAACTTGCGATGTCATCTGGAATACTGACATTACTAAGGTTCTTTACCCAGTTTGGCTGAGTGTTGAGCAAAATTTTCATTGTGTCACTTAGTAAGCTGTCAGACTTGCGTATATTCGAATTTTTGATAGAATGGAACAATGTATTATAATGTCTTAATTGTCTCGATTGAAAATTATTGAAAATTAAGTGGGACGTGAGAGAGATGATTTCAGTTTTCAAAAGTTCAAGGGATGAGTGAAGTTTTTTTAATTGTTCATGACAAGAAAAAATTTCAAGCTAAAGTATTTTCTCACCGAACCTTTGTAAAGGAGATTGTAGCCCATCTTCTGCAAGGTGATTGTGTATGATGTTGTTTATGGATTTATATATATATATATATATACACTATTGTATAGTGGAAGGTAAACGTTCTGTGAGAATTATTGGGTGCTCAAAAGTCGCATTAAGCGAACTTAAAACAAGCTTTAGTGAAATGTTCAAAATATATTCTTAACTTGTATTCTGGGATTATTCAAGAATTGGAATAGAAAATGCTTCAGCGCTTTATGCTTTTATTTCCCACGCTTGCTCGCGGGGAAGTATTTTAATAGCAAAAAATTTTTGAAAATGAGATGGATGCTTTATGATATGTACGTCACGAAGACCCATGTCACTCATTTTTGTCGGTCCGTCTAGGGGTCTGTCCGCTAATCTGATAACCTATAACATGAGAAGTACCGCTCGGATTTCGCTGAAACTTTTACATAATGTTACAACTATGCCAAGGACGCGAAAGCTTTGTAGTTTTTAAAATTCGGTTCAGTGGCGGCAGAGCAAAAGGCCAAAACGGAAAATAATGAAAATCGCCAAAACTTCGTTTCAGAGGATCCTGATCATTCATCAGGTAAATAAACTTGGTGGTGGATGTTGTAGGAGGGTGATGAGAGTTTATCAATTTCTTGACGTTAGTACATTTATACGCTAGTAATTGTACGCACCTATTATACATATTTCACACATCATGGATTTCTCCGTACATTAGCCCTTAAAACATAAAAATATTTTTAACAAACGGAACACGTACCTACCGGCCACGTCAATTGCTACCAGCGACGCGACCTGACTTCGGCCTTTCTAAGTTCTGTTGTTCTGGTATGGTGATTGGTGTTACAACCTAAGCTCTCATCTGACCGCGCTGCCACGTCTGACCGCCTTAGAGCCACGTTGCCAGATGCACTACCGGTAGGGCAGAGAAAGAATGTCTACTGACTAATTGTACGGATCTGTTTGAAAGACGTTTTTCTCAAAGGGTCTGGTTTGTGTTGAATCTAATCCTTTATGGACTGATAACCGCGTTGCATGGAAAGTGCAGAGTCAACCTGCTTGACGCCATTTTTTAAGTAGCAATGATATAACTTCACAACATATTGCTCCTCCTTTAACCGATATTATAACGCTGTACTTGAAACGATAAAGCTATTTGATTATGTATCTTGAACGCACTACTCCTGGGTAGAAGGTGAAATATCTCGAAGCATTCAGAATATTTAAGCTCGGGGTCTAGAAGGCCAGGGTTAAGTGGAAGAACAGATATATGTCACATCAGTGTTGCACATCTGAACTTCGCCCATCACCAAACTCTCTTTTTTTTAATATAAACGTAAGTTTATTTGCAGATGTATGGCGAATAAAGACGTTTACTATTATTATTATTATTATTATTATTATTATTAAAGGTTGCCGAATCTTATACCGGCATACCAAACTTACTTTTGTCGAATCCTCCTCTCGTCTGGTATGGTCCGCAATGAATCTCACTCCATCAATAGCCTTTAGTAGCTCAGGACACTCGCACCAGTACAAAGTACTTTTACAAAGTGCATCTTCAACTGCTTCTTCCAAGTGGAATATTGGAGATGGTATATCGTCCCGCATGCCGCCGCGGTGAATAGAAATTGTTTCCACTTCCCTAAAATTGCCAGATCGTTATTAAGATAGTGTATCGTATTTTTGAGTTACAGATTTATATTATTTGATAAGACGACACCCATCCGCTTGCTGCACGATCCAACCACCGAGCCACAGTGAGTCATCTAAATTCAGCAAAGCTGCAGTGTGTTAGGAGGTTTCCTATAGTCGAAAATACTGCTAGTTTCATCAGCATAATAATAATAATAACACTGTTTTCTCTTTATATGTATATATATATGTATATATATATATACAGGGTGACTTTGAAGTTGAGTCATTAATTTTCAGATAATGATTGTAGAAGGAAGATAAACCAAAATATGTGTGTAAAAATAAAAAAAAATAAAAAAAAATGTTACCTTGTTTTATAAAGTATCCAGTGCGGACCTGTATTTGATCGTGCGGTCTTGGAGCACCGGCATGCCCTCCCCTGTGAGGTCTTAAGTCACCTGATTCACGAGCCCTTTGTACTACATTAACAAAGGCACGAGGGGTTGGTTGCACTCGATTGGGACACCGATCCGCATAAATCCGTAATGCCGCGGCAGCATTTTGTAGAGACTCCCCCCCCCCCCCCGTAAATAAGAATCATGTCCACAAGTTCAGCATTTTCGTAAACATGTGCCATTTTTTATTTCGTTTGAGCCACGCAACACAAACACCACTATTCACTCACGCGTTACCGACTCACACATTGACTGACATCGTGATAAACGTTTCAAATTCTTTCGCTTTTTTGTTTCCGATGCGAGGAACGGATAAGGCGGATTGTATCCGTTGTTGCCAAACACGAGCACATAATATTATTATTGAGACAGGGCGGTACTCAAACTTCTAAAGGGCTATAACTTTGTTAATTTAATTTTACCAGAAAAATGTTAAAGGAAAAAACATTTCTTTTGATCAGATCTACTCACTGTTAAAATAAGTGACTCAACTTCGAAGTCACCCTGTATATATATAACAGTGAGTAGATCTGATCAAAAGAAATGTTTTTTTCCTTTAACATTTTTCTGGTAAAATTAAAGTAACAAACTTATAACCCTTTAGAAGTTTGAGTACCGTCCTGTCTCAATAATAATATTATGTGCTCGTGTTTGGCAACAACGGATATAATCCGCCTTATCCGTTCATCGCATCGGAAACAAAAAAGCGAAAGAATTTGAAACGACGTTTTTACTACAATGTACAATTTTATTCAGTTGTATTTAGTCGATGTGTCAGTCGGTAACGCGTGAGTGAATAGTGGTGTTTGTTGCGTGGCTCAAACGAAATAAAAAATGGCACATGTTTACGAAAATGCTGAATGTAGTACAAAGGGCTCGTGAATCAGGTGACTTAAGACCTCACAAGGGAGGGCATGCCGGTGCTCCAAGACCGCACGATCAAATACAGGTCCGCACTGAAATACTTGTCGGGAGGATACTTTATAAAACAAGGTGAATTTTTTTTTATTTTTACACACATATTTTGGTTTATCTCCCTTCTACAATCATTATCTGAAAATTAATGACTCAACTTCAAAGTCACCCTGTATATAATAGATATTATAAAAATTCAATTGCACGCATAATAGGAACCTATATTGTAAATTGATCTTTTTGTTGACAAAATAAATTTTGCTATCTGATAATCAAACAAGTACATGGGTTCTTTCTTTCATCGGTTGCCGGTAATTAAAGAAGGTTAGATTAACAAGTCTACCTACTTTTTTATGATGGAATGTAAAACCCGTAATTCGATTTTCCCGAGAGGTCTGCTTTGCTCCGGATTCCCCTATATACCTCATAGATATTAATGTATGAAAATTGTTAATAAGTCAATATTTAAGTGCAATTTACACCTCCCCACACTATGCGGGAGGTAACATTCAGGCATAAGACCGTAAGACGAGTGCTCTTGTCGCTCGACATCAACAAAGCTTCTGGTCCGGACTTGATTCCTGCCATTGTACTGAAGAGATGTGCAGCTGAGCTTGCTCCAGTTCTTTCGCGTCTCTTCCAGATATCTTATGAATCCGGCACCTTCCCAGAAAACTGGAAATTTGCTCATGTACAGCCCATCCCAAAAAAAGGATCTAAAACCGACCCTTACAACTACAGGCCTATAGCTCTGCTTTCTGTTATCAGTAAAGTGATGGAGAGGTGCATAAATCGCGAGCTTCTGGACTACCTCGAACGTCACAGCTTGATTAGCGACAGGCAGTACGGTTTCCGGCACCAACGATCCACAGGGGACCTCCTAGCTTACGTCACGCAACTGTGGAGTGAACTCATCCAGTCTCATGGTGAGGCTCATGTCGTTGCTCTTGACATCACGAAAGCGTTCGATCAGCTGTGGCACGCTGCCCTCTTGAGCAAACTTCCATCCTACGGCCTCCCAGAAAAGCTTTGCAGATAGGTGGCTGACTTTATCTCTGGCCGCAAGATATCCGTCGTAATTGACGGATTCTCCTCTTCATCCCACAACGTCAACGCGGGTGTTCCCCAGGGATCGGTCTTGGCTCCAACACTGTTTCTCTTACATATCAACGACCTCCTTTCCTGCACGATCAACCCAATCCACAGCTTCGCTGATGACAGCACTCTACATGCAGGAATTCAGAGTGACAAGCCGATCTCTGCCGCTGAGCTGGAAAAAAGAAGACTAGCGACGACTTCTTCTCTGACAAGAGACCTGGAGGCTATCACTGCTTGGGGACGCAACAATCTTGTACAGTTCAATGCTTCCAAAACACAGTACTGTACTTTGACGAACAAAAAGCGTCCTAGCGCTCATACAGTTTCGATGGACGGTCGAGTTCTACCAAAGAGCCATTCATTTCGGCTGGTCGGAGTCCAGATCACCGAGGACCTGATCTGGCACGAACACATCTCTTCAATAGCTGCAGCTGCTGGGAAAAAGCTAGGCTATTTGTTTAGGGCTAAGAAGTACTTTTCTCCGCATGACCTTCTCACTCTATACAAGGCCCAGATAAGGCCTAGCCTCGAGTATTGCTCACACATTTGGGGTGCTGCCGCCCCGACTACATTGTCCATGCTCGATGCTGTCCAGAGGAGGGCGGTCCGACTGATCGATGACTCTTCTCTAACAGACAGCCTCGGGACTCTTTCGCACCGGCGGGCCGTCGGCGATCTAGCTCTTTTCTATCGCTACACCAACGGGCTTTGCTCCTCAGAGCTCTCTTCCATGATGCCGCCGCGCGATGTGCCTGCCAGACAGACCCGCCTGACTTCGGCGTCCCATCCTAACCGTGTCAAACTTCGTACATCCAGAACTGGCCGATACGACCGCTCCTTTGTCCCGAGGGTGTCTAGATTGTGGAACAAACTACGGGAGGAAGCTTTTCCCAGTTCTGCTAACCTTAGGCAGTTCAAAAATCGTATTAACAAAATTTCTTTGGGATCATCATAGCAGCCGCGGTGTTCCGGCATTTAGGCTTCTGCCTGCGCGGCTGTTTCGATATAAAAAAAAAAAAAAAAAAAAAACAATAATGAGCAATGTAAGATACGATTTTTCTTTGCTTGAGTTATACCGGGTATTTCAAATTCGACCCTCACCATTGGGATCTTGAAAACAGTAAAAAGTACTAAGTCGCTTAAAGGGGGGCAAAGTTACGTATATAGATAACCAACAAAATGCTGTTATTTTTTTCCTAACTTCATTTGTAGTGGGTTTTCTCTCTCTCTTTCCTATACAAAATGGCATAATAAAAATATCAATATGACGCTTCGTCTCTTGTCCTCCAGCGTCAACTTTATTTGTCGTTATAGACGCCTATTAGATTTTTACATAGGTAAATAAAATTTATAATTCTGATTCCAAAAATGTATATGACATACATTGACATTGCCGCACCTTGATTAACATACTTTTTGACGAACAAAGAAAGAGAAAAGCTGTTCCATGTGACTGAAAGATTACCGGAAAGGTACTGTGTACATGCCCTTCTAGGCAATGCAATCACTGACATTCAGGAACGACTATCCCCAGAGACACTTAGTTTATTTAAGTTGGCTGTTTTTATTTCCAGAATCACTTATAGTAGTGAAGATCTAGAAACCGTTAAGCAACTTGCAATCGAGTACCAACGGCTTCCGGACAACAATACGCGAACTTGAATAATTGTGAATGAATATCGGCTGCGTATGGAAAAATAGCAGCTGGTGCAGAATTCTCCGCGGTCGATTCCTACTCTTTTTGAAAATTGCGATGGCGAACATCAAAAAGTTTTTATGTTCACCTGCTACATTACCAGTTAGTGTACCGTCTGCAGAGAGGTCCTTTTCTACGCTCCAGAGGCTCAAGATGCGGTTACGAACATTTATGGCAGAAGATCGCCTATCTGGAATCGCACTTTTATATGTCTATAAAGATGTACATGGCTATACAGAGGAAGCCATAAGTCGATTTGCAATACGACAAAAAAGATGAATTAAGTTTTGACATAGGTAAGGTCACTGCCACCCCGCTCTTAATTTTTTATTCACTATTTATGTTGATGTTGATGTATCATACATTTTTGGAATCGGAATTAAAAACTCCATTCACATGTGCAAAAATCTAATATGGCGTCCATAAGAAAACGTAAAGTTGATGCTGGAGGACAAGAGACGAAAAGTCATATTTAAATTCTAATTATACTATCATGTAGAAGAGAAAAAGTAGCAATGTTAATGTGAAATTTATTTAAAAATCCCATTACAAATAAACTCATGAAAAGTCATTTTGGGAAAATTCTTTTTTTTCTCTCTTCGGCACTCCTTTGAATCTCTACTAACTACTTCTTGATAAAGCAACATAAATCAAGAACAGTTTTTCGAATTTGTTCCATTACTGTTATTAATGAAATGCTATTCGACATTTCAACCTTTCAAAAATCAAATACTATATTAAACCCAAAAAAATCCTTGATACTGGTTTATTGTCTTCTGAAAAATTCAAATAGTGTCATTTATGGGGATTTTGAGATGAACTATTCAATTCCCTTGCATAATT